AAATTACGTTTTGGAATTTGCAACGGAAGGTTTGGGATGAGGTGCGTAAAAAATTAGCTAGTTCAACACCCACGAGATTTCAGTGGAATTTTCTCTCCTCCACAGACCAAACCACAGTATAAATAATGCACTCCCGAAGTGGTTATGTGGCCACTGGCCGTGCCCATTAATGGAATGAAATGCAATTTGTTTGAATTCTCAAACAAATTAAGAACCTACATTCGATTTTTATTTACTGAAAGCAAGCGCTTATTGCGATAGAAAACACTGTAACAGTTTCCACTGATTAAGAAATATTTTTGTTTGCTTGGGTGGTAATATTAGGCCTATTATATTAATAGGAAAGGGGGGCCCAAAAATTTGTTTTGCCTATGTCACGAAAAGAGGTAAATCCGGCCCTGCAAGCAGGTAGAAAATGTGATCTGATGGACCCTCCAGAGCAAAACGGCCAATGTGATTGAGTGAATGGACGGACACACCGACTGCATTAAATAGAAAGTGATACATTCAGAACGAGAGGCTTGTTTGGACATAATAGATGCTTAATTATCCTCAAAGACAGTACAATGCTGCTTTTCATCAGTCCAGCTAATTCTGGCTGCTTTGAGTCTTGCGTCTTACAGAGACCGTCCTCTCTTTCAACAGGAGAACAGCTTTTGTTACCGTTAATTGCTTTTCCTGCTAACAGAACTCTGAACCAGGATGTCGTCTTATTGACAAAAAAGTAACTCCCACACTGACAATGGTGCTGAGTTGTTAGTAAATGTGTCTGTAGGAAGCTGGCTGATGTGTGAATGTGAGTTCTGTAATCTGTGTGGGTCCATATGTGAGTGTACGTCTCTGCGTGAGCTGCTGCTTCAGTCCTTTTGCCTTCATATCCACGGAGCGTTCAGGAAGAATGGCATCCCGCGGCGATGATTCCATTCTCTTCAGACAGTACGCTCCTATTATTTCACAGCACGCGGGCGAATCATCGCCATGGAGATCACAAGCAGAGGATAAAGAGCGCACTCACGCAGCCAGAGTCACAAACACAAAACACATATAAGCAGATCTGTGTACATGGCGAAACCCTCATTTGAGATGATCCAGTCAAATGTGAGATTGAAAAAGCTCTTTTATTGGGGAAAAATAAACAGGTGTTAGTGGAAATAAACATCCCACCGTTGTCAGTGCTGTGGGGTCTTCGTGTTTTTTCAGTTTTGAATGCTGACATGTTGAGAAGCAGAAGAGCAAAAGAGTGGTGTTTTAATACACACATTTGATAATGTACACCGTGTGTACACAGCTGAGGAGAGACAGGGAGAAAACACAGATGTGAGGACTGTGAGTCTCTGGAGCGGATACCAGCAGGACCGACGGACACATTCAAAGACACACGTCAGCTCTCTTTCTTTTGAGTGTGAGTGGATGTTAGTCAGGGTTGCGAATGTTCTTGTGTGTTTGTGAGTGTCATTTTGGATGTTTATGTTTGATGATTCACAGCAACAAGCAAGTACAGTGGTGGTGCTTTTGGTGGCAAGAACGTCATTATCATAATCCCAAGAAAATCACTATGTATTCTCCCGTTGCAGTAGCTGTTACATCATACTTCTGTGTGATGTGTTTATTTAAGTGCTGTTGTTACATTATAATCTGGTGGCAGTGATAGCAGAGAACCATGCAGTCCTTCAACATTATGACCTTTTGTGTTTGCACGAGCCAAGTCTACGACATTTTAATGCCAGTCCGTTGTCAATGAAGCTCTAATTAATCATTCTGAATGATCATCCTTATCAGCTCCAGCCATTCATCTTTAATTGGGAATTTGAAATACTAAAAGGGCAAAGTAATGCCTCAGCATAGATGGCTCGATTACTGTCCTGCCCTTTGATAACAGTACTTATGACAGAAATTGGTCAGTTACCGAAAACTGCAGTTTTGCTCTGCAACAGCTGATTATTCTGTGTTTTTCAGAATGCGTGGCCTGTTCTCCACCATCATCGTGGTGCTAGTGGCCTTAATGATCGTGACCACAGAGGCTGGGAAAAACAAGAAAGGTATAAAATATTGGTCTCTTCCAATATTCTCACATCTCTCCCCTCTTTCCTCTCTTCCATTATTTCAGCTCTCATATAGAATTATATCCTGTGATGTCTTGCTTTGAATCTTAAGGCTGGAATACACTCCTTTTTGGACAGATTTTGCCCCAGTTTGCAGGCTGGACAAGTCAGTGCTAGTTGCTGAAAATCTGAGCCACTCTGCAAATTTTGGGCATTTTATAGAAAATTGCATAGTTTATGATGGGCACAGGCTCCAATTTTTAGCATCAGACTGTGATTCCATCCAGCCGAAGGATTTCAAACATGTTATTTTTATTTGTTATTCAAGCATGAATTTAGAATGCATATTTATTGCTTTCATTTGTCATACTTCTTCTATAAAAGAGGGGCGCATGCTTGCTGTCTTAGGAATGACTTGTTACAGTTGTTACTGTATAAGTCCCAGTTTTTTCTTCTGTAACCATTTACAAAGTTGACCAGTGTGATGCCTAGTGTTTTAAAATCTGTTCTGATTATAAAAGTCGTGTAGTGTTAGTGTATTGTCTGGGCAGTTTTGCATGAGTTTATGTACATAAAGTAATGCTGATGCCCATGTGTCATGTGACAGAGAAGAATAAAGGAGGTAAGGGTGGTTCGGACTGTGCGGAGTGGCGCTATGGCAGTTGTGTGGCCAATAATGCGGACTGTGGAGCAGGCACAAGGGAAGGCACCTGCAATGAGCAGACCAAGAAAGTCAAATGCCGAGTGCCCTGCAACTGGAAGAAAAGCTTTGGGGGTGAGTGAAACTGTGATAAATCAGCTGAAATCTTCTCATCATTTCTTATTATATTTAGCTATCGCTTTTATTTTTGGTATCTTTTATATTTAGTGTTTTTGTGCTGCTGTGTATTTCTGCCTTTTTCTGTACATTTCATATTATCTTACATAGTATATTGTAACTCATTTCATACAGCCGACTGCAAGTTTAAGTTTAGTAACTGGGGCGAGTGTGACGCAGCCACAAGCACAAAGAGCCGCACCGGCACTCTGGTAAAGGCTCTCTTCAGCGTCGACTGCCAGCAAACCATCTCTGTGTCCAAACCCTGCACCACCAAGGTCAAAAACAAACCCAAAGGTACATCCTCAACACTAAACCCAAAACTGACATTCAATGACGGAAGGCCTCTGCTCAATCGTTTTGTGCATGTTATGCTCAAATGTTAGTATTAAAAATAACATTCAACTAATAATAAATAATTATGACTTTAAAATTAAAATCATTTAAGAATTGTATGAAATTATTATTAAAAAATCTAAGTTTTTTTTTTTTTTTATAAAATCTTCCTCAAACACACATGGTTCAACAGGTGTTGTAAGCAGTTGTTTGGTTTGGTTTGGCTGAATGGAAACAGTAATGCGTGTAATCTGCTCTGGTTGTGTAATCTTGGCCTGTTGGCCATGGTGGGTGTCTTGAGTGGGATTCTGAACTCAATAATGAATCTCTGCTCATACATAAGAGACAGATTTCTAAGTCAGTCCTTTCAAATCGTATGTTTGTGGTTAATATGCTTATCTGAATATGGATTCCAGCAATAATACTGTTGCATTATTTTAAAAGAGCATATGCATTTCCTAACCAGCGTGAGACGGGGAGGCGTCTTCAAGAGGTTCGGGTTTACCACTGGATCTGAATAATGAGATTTTGTGTCAATCTCTCCACAGGAAAGAAAGGCAAGGGGAAAGGGAACTAAAAGAGCAAGAGATCCAGAGGAGCAGTAATCACCCCGTGATCATCCGTCATCCAAACACGGCCTTTTATATGTCTACTCAGTGTTCTTCAGCATGAGCGGAACTCGCACTACAGCCACAAACACATAGCTTTAGAAGACTATGACAGAGTAACAGCTGAGTATTTGACACGTTACATGACTGTTTCATGTGTGAGAGGGAGGGGAGAATAAAATGCCATTGTTTAGCGTGTGGTGCCCTGTCATTGACCCATTCCTCTGATGTTTCCCTCCAGCACAGATCTCTCGCACTTGCTCTCTCTCTCTACTATCCATCAGCCATGTAAGCCTCAGGCCTCTCATTCGCTAAAGGACAACAATCAATAGAACTCAGACACGTCTGTTTTATTAGTTTTACTTAAAATTTGGTTTTGTAAAATTATGTAATTTACAGGATTATATTACTAGTGGGGTATACAAGTAGTGTTTGGATGTAACCCTTCTCTTTTTTTTGTATTCTAAAATATAAAACTAAGTGTTGTTTGAAATAAATGAGTTCTCTTTTTCTATAAAAGGTGTAGTTTATGTAAAAGGAAAAATATGCCAATACTGTTACTTTTCCTTTTGACTTGACTGTTACTAACAGATCCAAGGGTGACAGAGGGTTATGAGCATTAAACTGCATGGAGAGGAGACCGTTCCCTCTTGTGCAAACCTGTTTTATAAGCATTTAAGAAAGACAGTAAAATTTTGTTACTGAGTATTGTGTGTAGTGTTAACTAAAGGTAAATGAGTGATGACAGTTCATTATTAAAGACACCTAAGCCCTCCAAATTTCTCATTATGCAAACCAATATGTGTGTTCATGAATATGCAAAGAATAAGCATCTGTCTCTCCTCCTGGTCAGTGCGCTTAAGAGCTTTATTAAGCTTTATGCAATAGAAAAATAACCGTACACTGGCTCTTTAAGGGCAGTGGTAGATAAGTCAACAAATACAGTGGTCATTCCATCAGCTTCACTGGGGTAATAATCATTGACTTTGCCCTTCAGCTGGTACAGTTAAATGGGGGATGTCTTTATTAATCCCTATACAATTTACATTTTATAAACATTTGAAGTGACCAAAGGAAAGAGAGCATAAAGTCATTTTGCTGTATTGGTCATCTAATAGATGCTAAGGATTGACCTTTGCTATTTTCAGAATTGCAGAAGACAATATTTAGTAACCGATCGGATTGCATGATTGCAATAGAAAAATAACCACACACTCTTATGTACACTGGCTCTTTAAGGGCAGTGGTAGATAAGTCAACAAATACAGTGGTCATTCCATCAGCTTCACTGGGGTAATAATCATTGACTTTGCCCTTCAGCTGGTACAGTTAAATGGGGGATGTCTTTATTAATCCCTATACAATTTACATTTTATAAACATTTGAAGTGACCAAAGGAAAGAGAGCATAAAGTCATTTTGCTGTATTGGTCATCTAATAGATGCTAAGGATTGACCTTTGCTATTTTCAGAATTGCAGAAGACAATATTTAGTAACCGATCGGATTGCATGATTGAATTTCTTTAGTATAGTTACAAAAGGAGTTACAGTTTCATAACTCTCTTAGAGATACTGATATTCCAATGTGAAGTCGTCTTAGAGTTGCATCACAGTTGGGGATATAAAAGCATGTATTTGAATGACTAAGATATGCAGTGAACAGCCTACTTCAACATACAGTCCATGTATCAGAAGAAGACCAAAGCAACTGGCAAGTTTAAAACATTAAGAAAAATGGAAATCTGGTTTTAAATTCTTGTTCAATGGCATACTAGTCACTTAGTCTGTCTTTACCACTCATTATAAAGAGATTCAGAGCTGGTTTGGAGATACAGATGCTATGAATGGAAATTTGATTATGAGGTAGAAACATGAAACCAAACCCAAGACGTTAAAGAGGCAAGTTTCTGCATCTTAAAATGATGCTAATGACTGAATAATCTCTCTTCCAGACCAGGCCTAATAACAGACCGGAGCACCATGACCTCTTTGGTTTAATGCTTTAAAGTCTGTAATTGCTGAAACTGGCAGCTTGTTAATAATGTAACATCATGAGCCCTAAAACATCAACACATTTCTTCCTCTGTGCTAATTCTGACCACTGTGGGAGATCATTCCTGCTGGTTTACATGCTGCTGTTTCATCAGTTACAAACTGTGTATTTAAATACAAACTAGACAAAACTATATTGCACCATGAGAAAACAATATCATCAAGTGGAAATCTACTAAATCAACATTGTGTTTAACAGGGGGAAATAAAACCAATTTTCCATTTCTCAAATTTACGGACAGTCCTTTGTGCCCCGATTTTAAATGAAATGCTTGAAATTGAACATCTTATAAACAGGTTAAATAAATGTACTAGTCATCTCCTATTTTTTTCCAAGTATATCACAAATTATAAATGGTTTCAACATTTTTGCATACAGACAACAATACATTTAATATTTAATCTGTAAAATCACATGAAGATCACCAACCAAACACAAGAGGAACACAAACATCCATACATTAAATGCAGGGAAGAAATAATACTTTCAAGAGCATATATTCATCATAACTAAACATATTTACACACCTCTGTAAGGTCAAACCCTTACAGTGACATTTCTCAGCTCAGTATAGAGTGTCTCATCCCATTTAAAGTCTATAATGCCTATCCTAATCCATTGAGGAGATCCTTTTCAATTTTGACCTATTCCAGAACCTCAAGAGGATCAAGCTAAGAGGATAATGATGACTAACTTCTCCAGGCTGAACCACATGCCCTGAATTTGTCCCAATGAATGTAATGGAATACACAGCTGTTGTGGTCAGCAAGCAGCTGCAGTCTGTGACTTCCTTCATTTGGAAAGTGGAAGGTGCAGGTGTAGGAAACTGAATCTCACTTGGGAGCATCATGCTTTCAGGGACAGTCAAACAGGAAGCTTTTCCATATGTTAATAGTAACTTTTCCATATGTTATGGGTTTTGGCTGTGGTATGTTCTCCAGTCACATCTTCTTCACCTCTGTATGACGAATGTGCATCCTGTCACAGAAGTCTGGTTTAGAAACAGTGTTAATACTAACCAAGAGGACTTGATCAATATAATTTGTCCTATACTGGGAATATAAATGAGTCAATAAAATCCTACTATTCACCAAGTCTCTTTTGGTTTGTATTTGCTGATATTCTGTCTCTTCACTTTTGGAAAAATTAGCCATTGGCCTCTATAAAGCATTGTTATTGTCTTGATCTTCACATTACTCTAGTGCAAAATTCCAGTGGTCTTAGCAGTAGAGCAATGATCAGATTACTGGAAAAGTCATTTGTCATTTATCAGCTTGATTTCTTCAGTGATTCAGTCTCTTGTCCATTGCTCCATCATCCTCTTGTAAACACTGATTTCTTAATACATAAACTTTTGGTTATGACACACTGTTTCAGCATTATGGGACTATGAAGCCTCACAATGTACTGCACAGTACCGGGACAGCCTTTGTACCTTCCATATCATATCTCCATCTTCGCTGGCTGCTTCTTCCCTTAGTTCATCTGGTGCCAATGTTCTTATACTGGCACATGAGCAGGTTTTTGAAGGTCTTTTTGAAGGTGGCGTTACAGAGTGCATAGCAAGCAGGGTTGATGGTACTGTTGACGTAGCAGAGCCAGTAGCCAATGGCCCAGACTGTGTCTGGAACGCACGACTGGCAGAACGTGCTGATTAAAACCATCACATTGTATGGCGTCCATGTGATAATGAAGGCCAGCAGGATGGCAAAGATTGTCTTTGTCACTTTCTTCTCTCGTGCCGCCATCTGCCTTTTCCTCTTCACCTGGCTGCGGGCGATGCTGGCAAACTTGCGCGCCACTGTGCGGGGACGGTTCACAGGGATGGAGCGCTTCTCGCCGGTACTGTTTGGTGGGACGATCTCGATGGCTGTGATGCATTCATCTCCCGCTTGTTTGGTGACTATCTTGATCTTGGACCATTTGGATTGAGGGTTAAATTTAGGTACGGCTGTGGGCGCGGGTGTCAAGCCGGCCTTTGAAGTCGCCTCACTGTTCGCTCGTTCTTTAAGCTCTTTAGGTGCTATGCTGGCTGTGCTGGAGTCGTTCGAGCTCTCCTTCTCCTCCGGCTGCACGCAGGAGTCCGCTTTAGCGGACACCACAGACTCGTCTAGTTTGCCGTTCTTCATGGTGTCCACCGTAGAACAGGTATCTAGGCTAGGTTTAGGAGGAGACTGGTTGTTGTTGTTCTGCTTCAAGATGTGACTCTTGAGCAGACCACTAGATTTCTGACCTTTCTTCTCCTTCTTTTCCTCAGGGTTCTGCTTGGACACACGGCTGCGGCTGGCCAGAGAGATGTGCACATAAAGCACCGTCATGATGACCACTGGCAGGTAGAA